AATGTTATTTAAAGAAAAAAAGATGACTCAAAATGTCTCTGTGTTGATTTTATGAATCTGAATACGATCAGTGTGGAAAACATGTATCCCCTCCCCCTTAGGAAAGATATGCTAGCGTATCTCGTTAAAGGGAAAAATTTTTCAAAGCTAGACTTAAGGGAGCTTACTACCGTGTCAAAATTAAGGAGGGCAACAAGTGGAAAACAGCATTTAACACCCCCCTCGGGTGCTACCAATTCAAGGTGCTCCCCTTTGGGTTACAAGGAGCCCCTGCAGTGTTTATGCAGTTAATAAATGAAGTGCTACATCAGCATTTGTATAAGGGGGTCCTGATCTACTTGGACGACATTTTAATATATAATCGAGACCAAAGCAGAACATGTAAAATTAGTCAGGGCAGTTTTAAACAAACTCCGCTCTGCCAAACTTTATGCTAAACTTTCTAAATGTGAATTTCACCAAGAGAAGATTGACTATTTGGGGTACCGCATTTCACACCAGGATGTAGAAATGGACCCTCAAAAAGTGCAGGCTGTACTTAATTGAGAACCACCACCCACACATAAACAGTTACAGAGCTTCCTGGGTTTTGCCAACTTTTATCGCCACTTTATTTTATCGCTCAGATTGCCCTCCCCATTACCACGCTCTTAAAAATGAAGAGGGAGGGCAACCCTAAACCAAAGCAGCCTTTGAACTGGACTATGGAATGCCAAGCAGCATTTGAAAAACTTAAAACAGCTGTTCTCAGCAGAACCAATTCTAAAATACCCGGACACGGAGAAACCATTTGTCATACAAGCAGATGTCAGCAATGTGGCAATAGGAGCGGTCCTGCTTCAGAAAAATGAGCAAGACCAGCTACAACCATGTGCTTACACATCCAAAAAGTTGAATGAGACTGAACAAAGGTGGGCCATTTGGGAGAAAAAGGCTTATACAGTTTGTTGGGCACTGTTAACCTGGAGGCATTTCCTAGAAGGAAGTAAGACCCCTTTTGAAGTCTGGACTGATCATAAAAATTTAGAAGCCCTAAAGACCTCAAGGAAACTCTCCCCAAAATAAGTACGATGGGCTCACTACTTTAAACTGTTTGATTTTACTCTAAAATACCTCCCCAGGGGGAAAAACTTTCTGGCACATGCGCTATCCAGAAAACCACAATACAATAGTGTGAAGTCAGACGTAATCAAACCCATAGTACAAAACAATCAACTAGCCGCTAAAGTAATCACCAAATCCCAAGCAAAAGAAGAAACATTGACGGACAATGACACCACCCAGACTTTTAAACAAGCATTGGCCACCGATGAATGGTTTTTGAACCACAAATCCAGCTATCTGATGAAAGAAGACTTGGCTTGGATGGGAGGGAAGTTGTATGTTCCAGCCAGCCAAAGACTATGCTTAATGGTAAGGTGCCACAACTCCAAATTAGCTGGACATTTTGGTTTTGTGAAAACTTTACACCTTATTAAAAGACAATTTTGGTGGCCATCAATAAAAAAGGACATAGAAAGCGATGTAGCTAGCTGCCCCATTTGTGCAGCAGCAAAAAGACGTCAGGGGAAATCCCCAGGTCTATTGCAGAAAGTAGCTGAGCCTTCAGCGCCATGGAGAGAGATTGCTATGGATTTCATTGTAGAATTACCAAACAGTGCAGGAAATACTGTTATTTGGATCGTGACAGACCTGTGTTCAAAACAGGCACATTTTATACCCTGCCAAACAATCCCAACTGCTAAAAGTTTAGCCAAATTATTTCTAATACACATTTATCGACTTCATGGAGCTCTACAAAGGATCATCTCCGACAGAGGGGTTCAATTCACCTCCAAATTTTGGAGGGCATTTTTGGACTTACTTGGTACTGGCCAGGGGTTGAGCTCCTTGCATCATGCGTGTACTAATGGTACTTCTGAAAGATTGAACTTGGTGCTAGAACAATATTTAAGATGTTTTATTAATTTTCCACAGGATGACTGGACCAAACTTTTACCTTTTGCTGAGGTTGCGTTTAATAATGCTGTACACTCAAGCACTGGTTTTACCCCTTTTAGAGTAGCGACAGGCCAGGATTTCAGTCCCATGCCTGAACTACCCACAGAAGAACCCACCATCCCCTTACTTAAGGAGTGGATGGATAATTTGCAAAACACATGGCCAGTGGTTAGATTAGCCTTAAAGGAAGCTAGAGAGGCTTTTAAAATTCAAGCTGACAAGAAAAGGATGGAACCCAAACCTGTCCATCTTGGAGACAGAGTATACTTATCTACAAAATTTCTGAAATCATTACAACCATCAAAGAAACTAGGGCCAAATTTCATTGGACCTTTCCCTATCACTATGGTCATCATTCCAGTAGCAGTTGAACTACTCCTTCCAAAGACACTCAGGCAAATCCACCCAGTATTCCACATTAGTTTACTCAAGCGAGAAGTAATCTCATCCCTCAGACCACCTGCATCTACACCACCTGTTCCCATCATGATTGAAGGTGAACAACACTTTGAAATCAAGGAAATCCTTGACTCTAGGATCCAGAGGGAAAATCCAATACTTAGTCACTTGGAAATATTTACCATCAGCCCACAACAAATGGGTCGCTAAACATCATGTTAGGGCTCCAACCTTACTGAGAAAATTTCACTCCTAATACCCTAACAATAATTAATATACTATCATGAAATTTTTGTTTATATATATATTTTTACAGATGGACCCTTCCGTTTTCTAAGGAAGGTAGCATGTCAGATCCCTAAAAGTGATACTGCCATTCAATTGGGAGAAGGGGAAGACGTGGATTCGATTTCCTAGCATTGCCTGTGTCAACAGATACTTTACAACCTATATCCTGGCGCCAAAGAGCCCTAAGATCCCCTTAACATTGAGGAATGTTTATGACAGCTATGTGGGCTGTTTCACTTTAAAGAAAAAAAGGAGAAACAATGTGAATACATACTTATCTGGGTTCTCAGGGCAGCTGGTAAAGAAAACATCTTCACACTTGTGTATTGGCTAAAATCTGCATTCTGGTTTAAGGGAGGGGACTCTACTGCTTTAATCCTACTTGTCTTGCCTAAGATACCCTTGCTTTGAATTGATTGCTGTCACTCCTGCTTAATAAAAGGTTCCTTTTGAAATACTCCGTTTCAAGAGTTTTTACTTTCTTAAGTTGGGAGAAGAGGCAATCTTTACAGGTATAGAATAGGCGATACTTGATTAAATCACCTGTGAAAGGGATCTTTGAGTCCTAATGGACATAAATATGAGCCCATAGTGCAGTGGTGAAATGCTATTTATAATTTATTTATAGTTTATAATGCTTTAAAAAAGTTTTTAAAAAGGTTCCAACAATCGTGCGCCACAGCTGTGATCATCTGAACCTTTGTTTTATCTTTTTAAAGCATTTTTTTACTACCGGTTCTGGAGAACTGGTATTAAAAAATGATTTTAAAAAGTTTTTAAAAAGATTCCCAAGCTCACACGCCACAGCTGATTTCCACTCTCGCTGTTCTACTTATCTTCCCAAGCCTCCTTTTGGCGCATATTGTGCATGTGCCCGTGCAGCACACCTTTGGTGCATAATGTGCATGTGTGTGTTGCAGCGTGCACTTGGCACACATGCGCAGCCAGCAAACCGGTAGCAAACCAGTTCAGATTTCACCACTGCCGTAGTGTGCTGTACCTGTCAAAAAAGCCAACACAGTCCTAGGCTGCATTAACAGATGGATAGAATCAAGATCACATGAAGTATTAGTACCACTTTATAATGATAAGATCATACTTGGAATATTGCATCCAGTTTTGCTCGCCATGATATAAAAAAAATTGTTGAGATTCTGGAAAGAGTGCAGAGAAGAGCAACAAAGATGATTAGGGGACTGGGGGCTCAAATATGAAGAATTGGCTGCAGGAATTGGGTATGTAATGAAAAGAAGGACTAGGGGTGTCATGATAGCAGAATTTCAATATCTAAGGGGTTGCCACAAAGAAGAGGAGGTCAACCTATTCTCCAAAGCACCTGAAGGCAGGACAAAAAGCGATGGATGGAAACTAATCAAGGAGAGAACAAAGGAGAAATTTCCTGACAGTTAGAACTATTAATCAGTAGAACAACTTGCCTCCAGAAGTTGTAGGTACTCCAAAACTGGTGATTTTTGAGAAAAGATTGTGACAACCATTTATTTGAAATATTTGAACAGGGGGTTGGACTAGAAGGTATTCAAAGTCCCTTCCAAATCTGTTATTCTTTTAAATCCAAATATAAAAGAATATACAGAAGTACATTCTTGACACGTTTAGTAAAATTAATTTCGTGTAAAACCTATATATCAAAGATGATGGCTACCCTTTTCTTCACCATTTTCTAGGAACAAGTCCCACTCTGTTCAGAGGGTTTCTCTTTATTGTATACATACAATGAATTCCTATTAAAGAGCAAATAGCAGGAACCCATATCAGGAGCAAGCAACTAGATATCTAAAACTATGAATCCCACAGCATTTGGAACCTGAAAACAAATCTCCAGCTCCCGGATTGTATGAGTCAGGCTGCCAAAATGTAGCTGTAAAATGTTTGATAGAAAATTTCTCCCCCTTACTATCCAAAAAATTAAGGATGGGCAGATGTCTGGGAATTTGCCCAGGATCCAGAGCCAAGTGTCAGTAATCTTGGCATCAAAAATTGGCAGTAGGAGTTTAGGATTGGTTTTTCTTTTTCTACAGTTTAAAGGTGGAGTAGAAATGGTTCTTTTCCTGCTCCCATTTATACTTTTCAACATCATGCAAAATGACCCCCAAATTATTCAACCCTGTTTCTTCATCTACTGCAGAGTTGGCTGTTCTATAGTTCTAGGAAACAGTAAGAAAAAAAAGGACACAATTAAGATATTGAGTGCAATGATCCAACTTCAGACTACTTTCTAAAATTCCTAGTTATAGGTCAGTTAAGTTACTGGATAGAAACACTTTCCCAAATGTACTAAGACCTTTTCTCACCTATTGATATGTTTCCAAATCCAAGAGTAATTAACCTTTCCTTGTGTTCATTAAGTTGATGCTTTGATTCAGCTAATATACCATTTGTCCACAAAAGCAAATTTGTAAACACTGAATGAATTACTCCAAACCTAAAAAATAAACAATGCGAACATATTATATTATATTATACACATAATTTTCCAGTATGAAATTTTGATGATACAACATTTTTTTTAATGTACCTACATAAATACACTATTCCAACATAGCTCTACCCCAAAGATGCATTCCATTAAAAGAACAGGCTGGGGAAACCATGCAGAGCCAGTGTCTAGACTCCAATACCTTCATCAGTAGTGGGAGGACATCTTTTGTCACTCTGAGGCAGCAGCCACACATCTTGCTTCTAGAATAGGAGAAGTCCTAGATCATCCTCTCTCCAACAGAGAGAAGAGCTAGCAAATGAATGAGGAGCAACAGAGGCTTTTTCTCAGTCCTGCCTTTCCCCATAAGCCAGACCTTTCAGGTTCATTAGTAAAATGGAACATGAAATATAGTAAAGCTTTCCAAACTAAATCACTAAACAATGTATGCTCCAATTCTATTTTTCAGTTTACCTTTGTCCTATAATTTATTATATAAATTAACAGTAGACTGCAGTGATCTTCTGTATGCCAAAGTTAAATTTTCATGAGAAAAAGGTGGTTACTGGTGAGTATCTACTTAGAAAAAGGTAGAGGAGGAAGAGTTATAACCAAGGCAACACTCAGATAAGAGACCTTTCGGCCCAAACCAGGAATGTAAGTTGAGAAAACATCTCAGGTTTGACCCTCCCTAGTTTCTTTTAGGATAAAGAGGAATCCATTCAGAGTTGCATGATTCAGTTACAGTAACCCTATAATAAAAATAGTTTCAGTATTTATGACTTTGTGTTCACCTTTGGTCTACCTTGAAGGGCTGACATCACTGTTTGGCAACAGCACTGAACACATTTAACACTATACAGAGCAGGTCTATATTGATTCTCCAAACCAACAAATAATCTTTTTTAAAAAATACCGCTGCCATTTATTTATTTATTTATTTTATTTTATTTTTATTTATTTATTTATTTTATTTTATTTATTTTGTCGCATTTCTATGCCGCCCAACTCCCAAGGGACTCTGGGCGGCTATATATTTTATTTTATTATTTTATTTGCTTTATTTTACTTATTTTCATGATTATATGGTTACCTATCTCATACAATAACTCTAAGTGGCTGACAATTGTCCATAAATCATAGTTAAAAACAAAGGTACCTCCACTCCAATATGGCATCAGACCATACATCCCCACAGCTCAACTCCCACCCTAGCTTTATGTTTCTTCACAGCCCTCCAGAAGACTAAAAGGGGCGGGGTCCCCCTGATTTCAAGTGAGGCGGGCTGTTCCAAAGGGCTGGGGCAGCCACTAGAAAGGTGCTCCACCAAGGTCCTACCAGATGACAACAATTAAGGAAGGGGACCTAGAGCACATCCACTCTGTCTAACCTACTACCTAATAACCTAGGGCAGGTATTCTCAAGGGAGTGGTGAACCCACAAAGGTTCCATGTAGGGTTTTAAAGGTGATACAGTACATAGAGCCTTGAATTACATCTAGGTAGCAAAAGGAAGCCAGTGCATACCAATAGTGCATACTGACATACCAATAGTGTTACTCAGGGCATCCAAAACTAATAGTTGCAGCTCCTGGATGTCTTCAAGCCCCATTTACAGCATTGCAGTAATCCAAGCAGTAGGTAATAGGTGATTGTGTGCAAGGCCTCGAGATCCAGGAATGAGCTCAGTTGGTACACATTTGTGCAAAGACTCTCTTGGCCACAGCCACCATCTGCTCTTCTAGCAGGAGCCATAAATCTAAGAGGACCTCCAAATTGTGCCCCAGATGTTACTGTCAGATCTGCCATCTTCAGCTTAACATTTTGGTGGCATCTGCCATAAATTGTTAAGAGGGTGAGGGAGAGAGGAAATAGGCAATTGGCATGTAGACAGTAGAGATGAACCAAGGGGGAGGGGATGACAGGTTTGACAGAAGCCAGAGGTGTGAAAACCAGCCATTCTTCAAGGCCACAGAGCCACAGAAAGGAATGTGAACTGCACCAAGTGGCACCAAACATTTAAGCAGTCCCCAAACATCTATGTGACACACCATTGGATGAAGACAAACTGGCCCTAGGTGGGAGGGCCAGGGAGAAGGGGAAATTCTGTAAGAGTATGCGTGGGAATTTTTGTTCTAGCCTGCTTTCACTGCAACCATTAATCCTTAATAAAAGAATCTATCACTTCTATTAGGTGGAGTCAGTGATGGGATTCAACTAATTTAACAACCGGTTCTTCCTAATGACTGGGTGGGTAGGCATGGGTGGGTGGGTCATGTGACTGAGTGGACGTGGCCAACTCGACATCACTCACAGCAAGGTGGGGTGGTGCAGGAAGGCTGAAGTGGCGGTGGAGATGGCCAGAGCCTTAGTGCAGAAGCGAAGCACCCTTGTGCTTACTTTTGTGCAGCAACAGCAGAGAGAAGCAGCTGATTGTCCAGTGCCTCATCTCTTGCTGGGTCTCGCTGCCTGACAGTCAGGGTTTTTAAAAAGATTTTTGCAGCAGGAAATGGCAGGCGGCTACTTCTGGCCTTCGTTGGTGCACCTGGGCGCAACTCTGCCCCGAGACACTGGCCTGCTGCCTCCTCAGTGCTGGCCCAAACAGCCTGCCGCCTCCTCCTCATTGCTGGCCTGAACGGCCTGCCACCAACGCCTCCTCCTCATTGCCAGCCTGAATGGCATGCCGCCTCCTCCTCCTCATTGCTTGCCCGAATGGCCACTTTTGAGCTGGCGACAGCATCAGCAATGGCGGTGGCGGCAGGCCATTCGGGCCAGCAATCAGGAGGTGGCAGTGGCAGACCGGCAATGAGGCTGCAGCAGCAGGCCATTCAGGCTGGCAATGAGGCAGTGGCGGCAGGCTGTTCGGGCTGGCAATGAGGAGGCAGTGACGGCAGCAGGCCAGTGTCTCATGGCAGAGAGCAGGTCACTCCCTCTGCCCAGCTGCACCAATAAAGGCTGGAAGTAGCAGCGGGACATGAGGGCTGCCTTGAGTGCAAATGTACTGTGGCAAAGGCTGTTGCTGCTCAAAGGCTCACCAGGCAGGGAGCTGGGCCACATGGGAGGTAGCAGAGAATGGTGAAGGAAGGCTTACCAGGCAGGCAGGGAGCTGGGCTGCATGGGAGGTCAGGGCGAAGGCAGGCAAGTGGGCTGGGCCAGGTGGGCCATGTGGTCAAGGCTAGCGAGCGAGGATGCCAGAGAGCAGCAGCAGACATGCCGCGGGCATGACTCTAGGCACCGGCCAAGGTAGGCAAGGTGAGATAAGGAGTGGCTGGGACTCCTGGGTGGGGCGGGACCAGCCAGTGGTGGGATTAGCTGGTTCTCCAAACTGCACAAAAAGTCAACTGGTATGCCTGAACCAGTGCAAACTGGCTGAATCTCACCTCTGGATGGAGTTGAGTGTCTCTCTTTCCTAGGGACCCACAGTAGTTGGGGCACACCTGACAGTTACCCCATCCAGAGTTAGAGATATCAATTCTCCTGATATTGGAGGTGAGGGCAGGGGGGACTAAGTTGCAGCTGGTTTCTCCCCATCCAGACTCTCACAATCTCCAAACACTGAGCCAGGATCTGAACAGGAGCATCTGCCCACACAGGGTACTGATGTATAATTAGCTATCATTAGCATATTGATGATAGTTAACCACTCCCCACTTCATATAGATATTAAATAAGAGGAGAGGCAAACTTTAAGTTCTGAGGCACCCCAAATAACAGGGGCCTAGAGAGATGGACCTCTCCTCCCCTACCAACATTGACTGCCATGGAGAAAGAAGAACCATAGCAGAACAGTGTCCTCCCATGCCTATCCTCAAGGCTGGTCCAGCAAAATGGTTGATGATATCAAAAGCAGCTGAGAGATCCAGAAGAGCCAGGGTGAACACACCACTCACATCTCAAGTTTTTTTTTTTTTTTAATTTGATTTACATGCCGTCCTTCTCCGGAGACTCAGGGCGGCTTACAATGCATTAAGCAATAGCCTTCATACTTTTGTATATTTATACAAAGTCAAGCTTATTGCCCCCACAAACTGGGTCCTCAAGTTCTCCAAAGATCATCCACAAGTGCAATCAATGCTGTCTCAATACTTAGCCTGAATCCTGACTGAAAGGGGAACTCATTATGGCTCATTAGGGTTTATAGGTGGAGAAAAATAATTTAGGACTAGCAGTAAACTAGGAGACATGACATTTTTTACAACCATACTTATGAAAAATTACAATTAATATTGACATCAAACCATTATTTCTATTGTTTGATTGCAATAAATGGTTATACTCATAATTTCTTAGGTTTATTGATATATTTTAATTAAACATTAAAAACATTTTATTACCTCCCTCCCTGCACAGTATTCACTTTACCTCTCCAGTGTTTTGAAGGACTGGATAACATCCTTTGCGTGGCACCATAAAAAATATACCTGAAAGCAAATGTGAATAAATTATAATGGGTCCCATGGAAAAAGTAGCAATTAATCATGTATAAAAACAATTAAAAGAATCTAGAAAAATGTGCAAGACATTTTCTTCATTTCCTCAATTCACAATCCCTATTCACAATTACCATGATTGGTAATTACCATTACAGATACCTAATATCTGATCAGACTTACTTTGAGTCTTCATCCAATGGTGCTCCAGCGTTCTTTCTACTCCTGACCCATTTCCCAATTAGTTAACTATTCCTATTTTAAACATGAGAATATTTTTTTCAATACCAGGTATAGGGAAATAGATGCCCAATTAGTCTGTGGTTTTAATAAAAACAATTGGAAAAATCACCCAACAACCTTTCTAAATATATACCAAATTTGATTCAGTGCCCCTATCTTCTAATGCATTCTAATCAATGCAGTGTAAGGAATTAAATCATTTTTTAGTTATGAGGTTTGTTATTTCAAAACACTGGAAAGATAAAAGTAGGTTTTAATTGGATAAATAATAGTTAAGAGTTTGTGAAACTACTTTGTTTGAACACTGAGTTTTTCTTTTGTCAGCTTGGGCTTTAAAAGCATCTCTAGCCTCATTCAGGGCTAGTCTCACTACTGGCCAGGTGTTTTGTAGTTGTATCCACTCCTTAAGGGAGGGTATGGTTGGTTCCTCTACTGATAATTCTGGCATTGGGATGAAGTCCTGGCCAGTGGCAACTCGAAATAGAGTGAACCCAGTGCTAGAGTGCACAGAGTTATTATAGGCAAGTTCTGCAAAAGGCAGGAGGTCAGTCCAGTTATCTTGTTGATAGTTAATAAAGCATCTTAAATATTGTTCCAGAACTGAGTTCAGTCTCTCTGTCGATCCATTAGTTTGAGGATGATGACTAGAACTTAGGCACTGGCTGGTTCCGAGAAAATCCAAAAAGGTCTTCCAAAACTTTGAAGTGAATTGGACCCCCCAATCAGATATTAGCCTTTGTGGGACCCCATATAGTCAATAGATGCTGCAGGAACAGTTTGGCAAGTGCCTTAGCAGCGGGGATTTTTTGGAAGGGAACGAAGTGGGCTTGCTTGGAAATAAGACCTGTTATGATCTAGGTAACAGTATTCCCCCCACTTTCAGGTAACTTTACAATAAAATCCATAGAGATCTCTCTCCAAGGTGTTGAAGGCTCAACTACTGTCTGTAAAAGACCGTGGTTTTTTCCTTGTCTCCTCTTCGCTGCTGCACAGATAGGGCAACTGGCTACATAGCTTTCAATGTCTTTCTTAAGAGATGGCCACCAGAATTGCCTTTTCATAAGGTGTAGGGTTTTCACAAAACTGAAGCGACCAGCCACTTTGGAGCTGTGGCATGTTTGCATGAGAGGAATTCTCTGACTAGCTGGGACGTATAATTTCCTACCCAAGCTAAGTCATCTTTAATTAAATAGGTGTATTTATGGGCTAGGAAACAGTCATCGGTTTCTAGGGCTTTTTTAAATGTCTGAGCATTGTCCGTTAGTGGGTCTTGTTTAGCTTGCATCCTGGTCATCACTTTGGCTGCCAGTTGAGAGGTTGGGAGTAGGGGTTTGAACACTTCAGGTTTCCCGCTATTAAACTGAGGCTTTCTGAATAGTGCGTCTGCTAAAACGGTTTTTCCCCCAGGGATGTATTTTAGGTTAAAATTGAAACGTTTGAAGTATTGAGCCCAGCAAACTTGTTTTGGGGAGAGTTTGCGTGTCGTTTTTAGGGCCTCAAGGTTTTTATGATCAGTCCAGACTTCAAAAGGGATTTTATTCCCCTTTAGGAAATGCCTCCAAGTAATGAGAGCCCACCATACTACAAAAGCCTCCTTCTCCCAGATAGCCCATCTCTGTTCAGTGTTGGTTAGTTTTTAGATGTGTATGCACAGGGCTGCAGTTGGCCCTGCTCGTTTTCTTGGAGTAAAATGGCTCCGACTGCTATGTCACTGGCGCCTGCCTGTATGATGAACGGCTGTTCTGGATCTGGGTGTTTTAGAACTGGTTCAGCTGAGAACAATTGTTTCAGTCTATCGAATGCTGACTGGCATTCCATGGTCCAGTTTATGAGCTGTTTTTGTTTGTTCCCCCCTTGTTTCCAGTAGGTTAGTGATTGGGAGCACAATTTGTGCAAACACTGGGATAAATTGCTGGTAAAAATTTGCAAATCCCAGGAAGCTTTGTAGTTGTTTGCAGGTGCGGGGGGAGCCCAGTTGATCACTGCTTGAACTTTCCATGGGTCCATTTCCACGCCCTCGTGGGAAATCCTATATCCTAGGTAGTCAATTCTATCTTTGTGGAATTCACATTTGGAAAGTTTTGCATAACGTTTCACAGCACGGAGTTTGTTTAGGACCGCTTGGACAAGCTTTACGTGCTTGGCTTGAGTCTCAGTGTATATTAAAATGTCATCTAAGTACACCAGAACCCGTTTGTATAAGTATATACACCTCATGTATTAGTTGCATAAACATGGCAGGGGTGCTTTGTAATCCAAATGGGAGCACTTTGAATTGATAACACCCCAAAGGAGTGTTAAAAGCTGTTTTTCATTTGTCTCCTTCCCTAATCTTGATTTGGTAGTAATCCTCCCTTAAAGTCCAGTTTTGAAAAAAAAAATTCCTTTGGAGAGGTGGGCTAACTTGTCTTTCATGAGACGGAGGGGGTACATATTCTTCACGTTCACAGTGTTTAAATTTCTATAATCCACACAAAGGCACAAAGACCCATCTTTCTTCTCAGAATAGCACTGGGGTGAAAATTTTTGGTCATGTGGGTTCAATGAAACCTCTCGCCAGGTTTTTATCTATGAAGGCTCTCAACTCCTCGAGTTCCCTGGGGGACATGCTATACATTTTTAGTTTTGGTAGTTTGCCCCTGGGAGGATCTCGATAGCACAGTCTGTGGACCGGTGGGGGGGGAGCTCATCAGAGTCTTCTTTGCTGAACACCTCAGCTAGGTCCTTGTACTCCCTGGGGATGCCCTGGTTTGGCACAGCCTTTCTCGCCATTGCTGCTTCTTTGTTTCGCTCTCCCCCCAGTTCCTCCCTTCGGCCATTGGGTCCAGTCACTCCCCATTGAAATCTTAGAGTCCCCTGCTTCCAGTTCACTCTGGGGTTCCATTCCTCAACCAGGTGAACCCTAGAACTAGCAGCCATTCCATTCTGGGTGCCACAATGAAAGTGAGTCTCATCATGAGTCCCCATTGCTATGTCCAGAGGTTCTGTGGCAAAAATGTCTGGTTCCCCCCCCGAGACTGACCCATCTAACTGACAGAACGCAATGGGAATTTTTAGCTTCCCCAAGTGTATGCCCAATTTTCCCACCAGGGTTGGGTTAATCAAACACTGGGTGCACCCTGAATCCAAGAGGGCTGATATTTTCATTCTTTTCCCCTGACTGGAGACAAATAGTCTTAGGGGCAGGATGAATGGCTCAATTGGTTCGCTTACCAGCAGGTCGTCTTCAGTGTTCAGGACAAGCCCGATTCCTACCCAGGTGATGCCGGAGTTCCTCCCAATTTTGCGAGGGGGCAAAACACTTCTCAGTGCGGTGTCTTTTCCTCGGGGGGGAGGGGTTTTTTGTTTTCACGGGCTTTCCTCTGGACAGGAGTTCTGGCTTTCAAGCAGGAGTTTTTGAATGACACTCAGCTGCATGGTGCCCCTCCTTCCCGCATTTGAAGCAGGCAGATGATCTCGGTGCCAGGGGGTTTTGCAGCTTGAATTGCTCCCTTGGGTGGGGATCTCTTCCAGGCTCTTCCCTCTCAGTACAGGTTTCTGGCCATGTCAATCTCCACTTCTTTGGCCAGGAGGTACCAGTCATGCAGGTGGTCGGGGGTCAGGCAGGTATGGTAGAGGTTGTCATTCAGGCCATCTTTTAACCAGCTCACTAGGATGTCTTCTGGCCAGTCCACTCTGTAGGTGAGGTCTCAGAACTCTTCAGTGTATTCAGCCACTGGCCGGGGCTATTGTTTCATGGTTCTGATGCAATCGCGAGCTTTGCGATCTGCCAAGAGGTCTTCAAATCGTTGGCGGAGAGCCTTCATAAATCAGTCGAAATTCCACAGTTCGGGGCGTCTGCATTGTGGAGGGTCACCATCCAATGGGCAGTTGCCCCTTCCAGGGCCAGGGTGATGACTCAGACCTGAGCACTCTGGGTCTGGAAATCTCTCCCATACTCCTGCATGTACATGAGGAAATGTGCCAGGAAAAACCCCAGTTGCTGTGGGTTGCCATCGAACTTCACTCCTGGGGGCGTCTTCCATTCCAGTTGCGGCACTCTGGGCTGGCCAGACAATTGCAGGGGCTGGTGCTGCGTGGTGTGGTTTCACTTAGATGGCTGTTGCCCCACCCACCGCACCTCCTTGGCCTCCTGCTGCTGGATCTGGAGCGGCAGCCCTGGCCCCATTGGCTGCTGCTGCTGCCTTGCTCCCTCTCTGATGTCAATCTAATTCCCCCATTTCTGAGATTTTCAAAAGCCTCTATCATGAACCGCATAACATTTCTCTTAAGGTGGTCATCTCTGGCCAGTTCTTTGATCAGCTCTTCCTGGTCAGACAGGGCTTCCAGCTCTCATTTCCAGCCTGATTTTCGACTGCCCCAGGTGAGGGTGACTCCTCAGGTTCTTCTGTCCCAGTTTCCTTTCTTCCCTACTCCGATCAACCATCTCGGCTTCCAAAATGGCTTCAATGTCTTTGATGGGGCAGAAGGAACTGGCTTCTGGCTGGCTGCTGCTGGTGGTGGTCTCATCCCAGCATTTTCCCTCTCCTTGCTCGCTGCTTTGCTCGGACATTGTATGCAGGGTCCCCTCTTTAGAGCGAGTTTGCTTCTCCAGGTTGACCACTTTTGCAGACCCTGCTTTATGTAAGGTTCTGCCTCTCCTTCTTGTTCAAGAAAGCATGGACTCTCAAAATTTTAGCATTTCAAAAGGAAACTTTTATTGAAAGGAAATGAATGCAAGACAATGCAAAGCAGGGTTGGAGTTCCCC